TGCATGTAACATATTACTTTATAAACTAACTAACAATATAACTTAAAAAAATTATATATTAGGACCAGAAGTGTTTCAAAGGGTGATTAAAGCACCAATCAATGCTCAGTAAGAGTGAGCTATCAAGAAAGTGATTGGTTTTTGCTGTGTGGGCATTGATAGATAGAATGTATCTGCACTGTGTATCTGTTCTAGACCCCATCGATTGGGTTACATGCAGATCAATGGATTTAATTCTTTTCAGAAGTAAATAGCAGCTGGCTCTTAGTTCAAAGGAACTTTTTTGTTGTGTTTGTTTGTTTGTTTCAGTATTTGGGAATGGAGTTCAAGCCCCAAACATGTTAGACAAGTATTCTACCACTGAGCTACATCCCCAGCTCTGTATATCTTCAGTATTTAAAAGAACCATGTATTTAAAAGAACTCTTTGATATTAGGTTAACTTTCACATTACACATCACAGTATTTTATCTCAGATTAAAATCAAGGCATAGTCTGATTAAAAAACTATATTGGGCTATTTTAGTACTTGTTGCAAGGTAGCAGACTGACTTCAGAACAAAATGAAATCTAGAGAAAGAATACTTGTATGATATGAATTCTTCTATCCCCTATAAATAATAAACTAAGAGAGCTTCCACTTGTGTGGGATCCAAAAAACAGTTTTCCAATTTCATCATAGATTTTCTTTAGCTATGACTATAACATTCAGCCATTTTATACAACTTGCAACTAAAAGAAAACACACAAAAGAAAACTTTAATCACCTATAATGACATCATATACAGGAATCACTTGAATCATTATATTTTAGAGTGTTCTTTAATAAACATTAATACGCAAATTAATAACATGCCACCAAGGCATATATTTTTTCAATTTAACTTTGTATAATGAATAACCTCCCATATCATTAGAACTTCTATAATCATCATGTAATATTGTATTATTTTCCCATTTAACCTGTAAGTAAAGCAGCAAAAACCATCTGAGTTACCAATCTTTGTTTAAATTTCTCAGTATTTATGAACTCATCAAAACATATTATTACTTGACTAAGTATGAACATGTTCATACAAGGGGACCTGAAAAATATAATTTGAGACTTCAATTAATCTTAACCTTTGTGGAAGGGGCTGGAGAGATGACTTAGTGGTTAAGAAAATGGCCGGGTGTGGTGGCTCACGCCTTTAATCCCAGCACTTGGGAGGCAGAAGCAGGTGGATCTCTGTGAGTTCAAGGACAGCCTGGTCTACCAGCTGGGGCTACAGGGAGACCCTGTCTCAAAAAGCCAAAAAAAAAAAAACCTAAAAAAAGGATGGTGAGTGGTAAGTAGAAGGCGTAGGGATCCTTAAGTGTTTATCTTCAATTATTTGAATTTAACAGAAGGGAATTCTCTTTGTTCTCTTTACAGATAGCAAAACATTTAAACAGCTATTTAGTAATTTCCATCTAACCAATTCAACTTGTTATTTTATATCTTTATTGAGTATATACTTTAAAAAACTTTCATTTATTATTTTTATTTTATGTGTATTACCTGCATATATGTAAGTGCACCCATGTCATGCAATGCCTATGAAGGTCAGAAGAGGGTGTGGGATTCCCGGAATTGGAGTTACAGATGGTTGTTAGCCACCATGTGGGTGTTGGGAATCAAACCCCCGACCTCTGAAAGAGCAGCCAGTGCTCTTAACCACTGAGCCATCTCTCCGGTCCCAAGTGTATACTTTTTATTAGTAATTATTTAAATAATTTTTAAAGTTCTAAGTCATCTCGTTTTCACTTTTATTTACTTGTGAGTGCGTATGTGTAGGTCAGAAGATCATTTGGCAGGTGTCAGTTCTCTCCTGCCATCATGTGGATCCTAGGAATCTAACTGAGGTCATTGGGCTTTGTGACAAATGCTGACCTACTCGCTGAGCCATTTCTAATCACTAGGAATCCTCTGAAGACAATTCCAGTAATCAGCATCTTGTTCATGGAGATTCCAGTTTTTAGAGTTACCAGGATTTATTTTACTCACTCAGATCCTTCTGCCTTTCAACGTTTTTTTTTCCCCCCCCCTTGGACTATGGGGCAACGAAGTGATGATAATCTTTTCAGGAAAAGGGAAAAGCTATATCACATTCCACTTGGTTCTTGAAAGTGGCTATTGGTGCTAACTTCATAGTAACACTAGCCTGAGTAGGGACTCACGCCTCCCAGCATTTGGGAAGTGGAGGCAGACGCAAGCGGATCTCTGTGAGTTTGAGGCCAGCCTGGTCTACATAGAGACTTCCAGGCCAATCCGGGCTATATAGCAAGACCCTGTCTTAAAAACCTAAAAAACAAAACACTAGGTTATAGGAAGTTTTTTTTTTTTTTTTTTTTGTAAATTCAATCAGTTAATTAAAATTTACTTCTTTTTTTACATTTTTCCAATATATATTTTATTGAATTTTTGTGCATTTCATACAATATATCCTAATCATATTTAGACTCCCTCCTCTATCTGCGGCCTTTCCTTAGCCCACCCACCAGGTTTTTTTACGCATGAGCAGCACTAAAGAGAGTGCATAAAGGTTCTGGAGCACATTACCTAATTTCAAATCTATTACTCGACAGAATTCCCTATTATTTTCCTTCTCAGAGGAAAAAAGTATGGTTGACCACAACAAAGATGTCGGCAGCGGCATCACACCGCAAAGGAGAGTACTTTCACGGCTTGAGCATCAACACATTTAATTCCGGCCTGTTTATTTGACGTCACTTCCTGCTTGCCATGGCGGCGTGTACAGTGGCTGTGAACTTCCAGAGAGAGGACAAAGGACCCTGAGGAGCGTCTCGTTGATGGAATTTGAAAGAATGCGGGCGCCAGCACCATGGAGAAAGAAGGTGGGAAGTCTGTAGTTGTCGCAGTTGTGACTGAGCCTCAGTTTGCCCAGAGATACAGAGAATATCTGGAGAAGGAGAAACTCCTGGATAGACAGCACCGCGTAGAAAAGATGCCCGATGGGACGGTGGCGCTTCCGGTGCGTGGGGAGACCCTCCCGGAGCAGCACCTGCAGGAGCTGAGGAGTCGAGTGGCCCCGGGCAGCACCTGTATGCTGACGCAGCTCCTGAATCCCGTTCCTTCTAAAAAGGCCCAGGTTTGTTCACCTGCCCAAAGATTGTGCCTTCGGGTGAGGCGTTGGGTAGAGGACCGCGGCGGGACGTGGTCAGATGAATTGGAAGCCGATTTGCCCCGGTCTTGGCAACTGCATGGTAACCTCTTGTTGCTGAGTGAAGACTCTTTTCAGGCCACGCAGTGGAGAAGTTTGGAACCAGAACTCTGGGAAATTGTTGCATCAGCCCTTGGAGTTCAACGTTTGGCAAAACGAGGGCGTGTGTTACCCGATGGCACTCGAACTCCATCAGTGACTCTGCTACTGGGTGATCATGGCTGGGTTGAGCACATGGATAATGGCATCCAATATAAGTTTGATGTGACACAGTGCATGTTCTCCTTCGGAAACATCACTGAGAAACTGCGTGTGGCATCTCTGTCCTGTGTTGGAGAAGTGCTGGTGGATCTCTACGCAGGGATTGGTTATTTTACATTGCCCTTCCTAGTTCATGCTGGTGCTGCCTTTGTCCATGCCTGTGAATGGAACCCATATGCGGTAGTTGCTCTGAGAAACAACTTGGAGATCAATGGAGTGTTAGACAGGTGCCAGATACACTTTGGGGACAACAGGAAACTGAAGCTTACAGACACTGCAGATAGGGTGAACCTGGGGCTGATTCCCAGCTCTGAAGAAGGCTGGCCTATTGCCTGCCAAGTGCTACGGAAGGATGTTGGGGGCATTCTGCATATCCACCAAAATGTGGAATCTTTCTCGGGAAAGAATTTCCAGCTTTCTGGGTGTAGTAACATGGGAAAAGAGCAGTGGCCTTATCCTCAGAAAATTATCACCAACAAACGTGGAAATGGAACTTCTAGGGATTTCAGGGGGGGGATGCTGCCATCAGCCAGCAAGCCAGAGTGGCACAGGTGGGCAAAGTCTGCAGAAACGCGAATTGCCGAACTTCTTCATCAGGTGCATGGGAAACGGTGGAGGACTCGAATCCTGCATGTCCACCCAGTGAAATCGTATGCTCCCCATGTGGACCATGTAGTTCTGGATCTGGAATGCCGCCCCTGTCCTCTCCTTGGCTAGAGGAGGTAGATCCAGTGACAGCAGATCCAAGCGAGTGGCCCACAGTGCTTCAGCTAGGGCTGCCTTCTTACCCTTTTGTTTCCGGTGGTCTTTTTAAATGTTTTGTGGCCTGAAAAGGGACTTTAGACAAATCCAAATAATTTCATTTCTATTGATCACATTGAGACTGTATTAAAGTATCATGGAAATCAGCATGGTGCATTAAAATAGAACTCATCTGTGCAATCGTGAATTCTGATTTTTTTTTAATATTTTATTTCTATTTCATGTGTTTGAGGGTATTGCCTGCATGTTATTCAGTCCTGGAAGAGGTCAGAAGAAGGTGTCAGATCCCCTGGAACTGGAGTTACTGATGGTTGTTAGCCACCATCTGAGTGCTGGGAATAGAACCCCATGTCCTCTACAAGAGCAGTCAGTGCTCTTAACCACTGAGCCATCTCTCCAGCCCTGAATTCTGAATTTTTAAACTCAGTTTTCACTTTGGGTATGTGGTCTTAATATTCACTCATTCTTGGATTTATTTGCAAACTAAGGGTCTCCTTGAACTGTATCACATGGCTGCTTTTCTAATAAACAGTTATACAAAGGCATTAGTCGAGTGACACACAGTAGTTCCCTGAAGTCTCTCTAGCTACAACATGGAAAATCAACTGGAAGAGAACTAAGATAAAAATGGGGAGACCAGTGATGAAGTTGTCCAGTTCCATAGAGATTCTGTAGTTGTCCAGACACAGAGTGATAGTGGTTTACACTAGGGTGGCAGCCATGGGAACTGAATGGATTTGAAAATTAAATCAGTGGGACCAAACAATGGAATCCAAATTGAAATAACATAATGCCTAGTTATTATGACTCAATTAGGGAGGAAGGGGACAATTAAGTAACTCCATTCCTCTACTGTAGCATTCCTTAGTCAATGGCATGTGTGTGTATGTGTGTGTGTAGGGGGGGGGGGTCTTGTAGGTTTATCATGGTTTAAAAAAAGTTAAGAATTTCTTCTCCGGGTCTGGAGAGATGGCTCAGCTGTTAAGAGCACTGGCTGTTCTTACAGAGGACCTGGTACCCACATGGAGGAAAACAACCATCTATAACTCCAGTTCCAGGGACTCTGACACCCTCTTTTGATGTCCATGGGCATTGTGTGACAGGAGTACACTTATATACATGCAGGTAACATACTCATACACATAAAATTTTTTAAAATAGTAAAGAAAATATTAAAATTTTCTTCTCAGCTGGATGTGGTGTGCATGCCTTTAAAACCCAGTACTCAGGAGGTAGAGGCAGGCAGATCTTTGTGAGTTCCAGGCCAGTCTGGTCTACACAGTGAATTCCAGGCCAGACAGATCTCAAAAAGGAAGAAAAGAACAACAAAAGTATGGTGAGTCACACCCATAATCCTGTAATCTTACCACTCAGGAGGCTGAGACAGAATGATTGCCATAAATTCAAGGACAACCAGGGCTACATAGTGAGTTCCAGAGTCACTTCTCTGAATTGTAGGCAATCGCAATTTCTATCCTTAGGCAATATAATAGCTGACAGTTGATTAAAATCGTAATATTTTTATAAGCCTAAACATCATCGTCCTTTCCTGGTGAAGATGCTACAGGCAGAGCTGGAGTGTACCTCAGTGTAGAGTACTTACTTGGGTGCCACGGTGCCCTCTCCGCACACACAAGTAGAGGCAGTTCCAGAGGAGCAGTCGTGGCTATTGTTGCTATAGGTAGGAAACAGATATTCTGCATGTTCCAGACTTCATCTGGTTTTATGGCTTTGTGCTGCTCACCATGGTTTGCCACTGGGATAGCCAATAGTTGAGAATCACATGGAGCTTTGTTTTGATGCAATTTGAAGCCTGTGGGTTGGTTTGCCTGAAGGAAACAAAAATGTGGCCTTTTCAGGATTCTCATTGTACCCGACATTTGGCTTCCATGAGTTGTGCATGGCTGCTGTTCTTTTTCTAGTAGTAGCAATAAAAACAGTGTTGATACTATTTAGGCTAAATACAAATGCTACATGCCTTCAGTATGTAAGAGCCACAGAAACTATAAAGATCCATTAGGTTAAAAAAAAAGTTCTGTCATCAAGAAGCTTGCAGCTTAGAAGCAGCGATTATACAAGTACTCAGTGGGGGACTAGCGTGCCATGCTTGCTGTGGCAGCACAAAAAATGGGAAGAGAAGAATTCTGACAAATAAGTGAGAGCTCTACATAGTTACGGCTGATGGCTCTTTGACACTGGTAAGATTTCATGGGGTAGGGAGGAAGAAGAGAGTTTCAATGCTCAGAGTTTCAATGCTCAGAAAATGAGCTGTTGTCATTAGCTAGGAGAATCTTAAGAGTGAAAATATGATCTGGTTAGATGTGGTTTTATAAATTCAATTTGTTAAAACCCTAGTGGTTCTTTTGTTAAGGTTTGTCTTTGTGATCTAGACTGGTCTCAAACTCACGATCCTCTCAGCCTTTGGAGTGCTGGGATTATAGGCATACTCCACCATGCCCAGCTCTCCATAGTGTTCTAAACTGCTTGGGCTGGGGAGATAGCTCATTGGTGAAAGGGCTTGCATGAAAGTGTGAGTTCAGATCTTTACACCCTACATAAAGCCAGAGGCAGTAGCACTCATCTAATCTCAGTGTTCCTATGGTGAGATGGGAGGTAGACAGGAGAATCCCAGAAAGATTTGCAGGCCAGCTAGCCTGGCATATGCAGACAATGACACCCTGTCTCAAACAAGGTAGAAGGTAAGGATGATACCCTAGGTTGTCCTCTGATCTTCACACATGCATGCCCTGTGGCACATGCACATATACACACACATCACACATATGCACATATATACTCTTAACATAAACTCACCATAACCATAGTCCTTTCCCCTAATCTGGTGACATTTTCCACAGTGGGTAACGTGGAACTATAAAGGAATTAGCCTTTACTATGAATTTTTGTGTTTATGTTCATGGAAGAAATATTGACTTCACAGAGTGGTTGACTTGGTTGGGATTATTCCTTCTTCCATTTTCTGAAAAAGCTTGTGTAGAGCTATTATTCCCCAGTAAAGCTGTGTGTGTGTGTGTGTGTGTGTGTGTGTGTGTGTGTGTGTGTTGTAAACCAAGGGGTCGTACTCTAGTTGCCTTTGGATCCCAGCCAGGTCTACCTGAATCCCCCCACCCCATGCCAACCTTGTAGTAAACTGGAGTGAGTACTATGACTCACCTTGTTTGCTAGTCATCTCTCACGGATCACCATCCTCCATTGCCTGTATCCAATGCCTTGACAACCATTTATGTCTAGTTCTTAAAGAACTACTTAGATTGTAGTTTATAATAATTGTTTTGTATATAAATTTACTAGCTTGAGTAATTATTGAAGAAATTCACTTTCATAGTACCTACAAGTACGTCAATCGAAACAAGAATCTGAACATAAAGAATATAAGAATTTCATGCTACGACTGTTTAGATTGCTTACTTATAAAGTAAATCATAAAATATTAACAATGCAATGGTATTTTTCTGGTTAGACATAATAACCTGCAAGTTTAATTACTTGATCGTTGATCACACACAGTTTCACAGATTCAAAAGACGGTTTCAAAATAGTTGTTTCTGTTTTTTTAGCGGTCAAAGCTTACCTCTGAGTCAAAGGTACACAGATGATATTGAATGAACGTGAAGCTAACACTGAATTTCTCTCTTACACACATACAAACACACACATATACACTAGCATTAGGTAGTCAAATAGAAAGAGATGGATAAAAGATGGTCCTAATTTCTATTTTGGTGATTTTTGTTTTTAAAAGCTCTATGTACATACAATTTTAAAACTCAAGGTAACAAAGCTAGTTGTGAGAAAAGAGGAAGAAAAAAAAATCCAGAAGCCTCATACCATGATGAAGAGTTAACTCTCCTACCCTCTATCCAACAGTTGGGAGAGACATAGACCATTTCAGTGTGTCACAGGATATCACACTGACCTACTACACTGATGGTCTTGTGCTGACTGGGCCAGATAAACAACAAATAGCATATTGTATGTCAGAGTAAAGGAAGTAATCCCCTATTGGGATTACTAGCAGTCTGTTGCATCAGTGAAGGATTTTTGAGTCCAGAAGTTTGCTTGAATAACCTGATATCTCTGTCATAGTGGGGGGGGGGACTATTGCATAATATCCATCCATTTTACTAAAATTATTCCACCACCAAAACAGCACAGCAACCTATGTAGGTCTCTTTGGTAAGTCATAACTTGGAAGGTAAAGGCTCTGATTTAATAAACCGAATGACACAGATCTCAGATCTAGGGAATGTGAAGTCTCTCTGGCATGTACTGGCTGCAGTGGGATTTAGCACTGAAGCCGGGGACATTCAATCCAGGCAATTCTGTGGTTAAAGAGAATTTGTGATAAGAAAAGCAGCTGTGGAAGTTTATGGCAAGCTCTAATGGGGGAATTGTAGGGTATACATTGAGTGTTCTTCTAAGGCTAGGCCATCTCTGCAGGAGAGGGCCACATATACAAAGAAGGAAATGGTTCTGTGCATGCTAATGGGCTTTGGTGGGAACTCTAGAGCTTGTGGACTATCATGTGGCCATACAGCCCATTTCTTGATGAGTTGGGTTTTGTCAGCTCCACCAAATGCATCCATCTCATCTGGAACTGGTGACAGCCACAGCCAGAGGAAACAAGTGACACAAGCATATGGTAAGACTCTTGTCTAATGTCCCTCCCTCAGCTCATAATTATGGCGATGTCTATAATTATGGCCCTTATGTCTAGCTGACAGTGGACAAAAAAGTTCAAGATAGCTTTTGAGTTGAATATTCTTCAAATTTTAGTTCAAAACAAAAATGGACTACTTTTGCCCAACTATACCCCAGTCAATAGTGTCTTTGCAAGACAGCAGCAGTGAAGGAAATCATCCCCAAAAGCTGAGTATGGAGCAGTATTCCTGATCATTAGGTTTGAGTGGAAAAATAAGTGTTCTAAAGGTATGAATGTACTGTCATGGCAAGTGGCAAATGGGTAGGCTAGCTGATAAGGAGTGTGTAATGGGAATGATTGGGAGACTGGGATAGGAATACTGGAGACAATAAAGATCACGTATTGTATAAGTGTGCCAAGTAGACAGACTATGCAAGAGGCATTAAACAATCAAAAAGGCAAAAAGATTTAGCTGTATTTTTCAAGAGCTACAGCCACCAGCTACTCCAGT